AAGCATCCAGCCAATCATATACCATATATGGAGATGAACAATGACTCCTCCCCCCCTTTGAAAATGATGAGTTTGGAAACAAATGAGATCACTCTAAAACAATCTGTATAGTGTTGAGAAAATACTTTTCCCACCATATGGTGCAGTGAGTAAATGAGAACAATCAAATCAATCAAAAAAACAACGTTTAAGACAGTGGGAAGACAGACCTCTAATTGACCCTGTTAGGGAGGCCTCTAAATGACCCTGTTAGGGAGGCCACTAAATGACCCTGTTAGGGAGGCCACTAAATGACCCTGTTAGGGAGGCCACTAAATGACCCTGTTAGGGAGGCCACTAAATGACCCTGTTAGGGAGGCCACTAAATGACCCTGTTAGGGAGGCCTCTAAATGACCCTGTTAGGGAGGCCACTAAATGACCCTGTTAGGGAGGCCACTAAATGACCCTGTTAGGGAGGCCACTAAATGACCCTGTTAGGGAGGCCACTAAATGACCCTGTTAGGGAGGCCACTAAATGACCCTGTTAGGGAGGCCACTAAATGACCCTGTTAGGGAGGCCACTAAATGACCCTGTTAGGGAGGCCACTAAATGACCCTGTTAGGGAGGCCACTAAATGACCCTGTTAGGGAGGCCACTAAATGACCCTGTTAGGGAGGCCACTAAATGACCCCGTTAGGGAGGCCACTAAATGACCCTGTTAGGGAGGCCACTAAATGACCCTGTTAGGGAGGCCACTAAATGACCCTGTTAGGGAGGCCACTAAGGTAATCCAAAGAAATAAGAGGAGTAGGGGGCAGTACGTTGCAGTACACTACAGAATATATTATATAAGAATACATATGGGAGCAGTGGGACTACTGCATCAGGTCACAACGTTCTCTGCAGACAAATCATAAAAGCAATTGTGTTGTACATTTCGGACTGATTTCTAAACCAGCACGGGTCAACAAATAAAATTAGCTGAAATATGTTACTTTAGACCCGTTAACAAAAAAACATTTAACAATTCAACAAAATGTATCCCAAAAAGATAAAGGATTTATGCAATCCTATTCAGAGATTAAAGTATGCTATCTGTAGCAAATCACCTTCTAGCAGGCGAGAATGATGTTATTTACTGTAGTCCTGTGAGAGGGACAGAAGTAGAGAGATGTAGTGGACAGTAATATTTAACATGTGTATATACAGCATATATGATATTATAAATACCTCACATGCGACTCGTAATAAGACTAAGCAATTAGCCCATTAAAAAGTTTATCTGACTCCATAAGAGACTACAGTTAAACCATGTGCTATCAAGTATTATGCATTTAGATTACTGAGATCAAGGAATGGTCATGAGAAAGGAATTCTAAATACAAGTGTATTTAATTACTTTTTTAAATGAATGATAACATTATACAAGGCATAACGCTTAAGTTACAAAGCATTAACAAGCATTACAAGGCATTATTCTAAGCATGGTCAGAGAGAGAGAGAGACATAGCTTGTGCCATGGCCCATAGGAGAGGAAGAGAAAGAGGGTAGGTATCTCACCACAGCAGCTCAGAAACACATAAGAACAAGAAAATCAATCTTAGACCCTTTAATAAGCATCTGAGTTGTTTGGATTCAAAACCTGAGTTGTTGACCAATATAGTATTACTGTAAAGTTAACCTCCGATTAGATATCAGATCTACATGAAGTAATCACAACAGAACTGCTTCTCAGAGTTGAGACATTGGGGGTTGGTGAGATCAACACAGAGAATGCTGAATTCCTAAAACAACACAGAGGACATTCTTGTATACAGTTGATAAGAAAAGTTACTTCGGGGGCTGAATACCTGTATCTATTCACTGACTGTCCCTTGTCTCCAGTAATAATGTTTAGGTCTTCCTTTGCCTCTGTAATGTTAAGGTAATGTTATGTAAATGTAATGTTATGTAACTGTGATTTAATGATAATATAAATATATTGTTATGTAAATGTAATTGAATGTTAATATAAATGTAATGTAAATGTCTCCACCAGGCCCATGAGTCTCTGACCAGCGGTCACTTCCCGGCCCCAGAGGACACCCTGCAGCACCTGGCTGCTCTCAGGCTCCAGTTCCTTCACGGGGACAAGGCCCGGGTCAGCTGGTCTCTGGACAACGTCTACCCTGTAGGGAGGCTCCGTGCACGCATCCTGCACTTCACCAAGGTAGGTAACACTCCATCCAGGGGTGCTGCTCTGCCGTTTGATCCTCTGTGTGTGTGTGTGTGTGTGTGTCTGTGTCTGTGTCTGTGTCTGTGTCTGTGTGTGTGTGTGTGTGTGTGTGTGTGTGTGTGTGTGGTGTGTGGTGTGTGGTGTGTGTGTGTGTGGTGTGTGTGTGCGAGTCTTTGTCTGTGTCAGTGCTATTTGGGGAGGTTGACAACTGAGGAAATTACACATTTCTGGTGTTCACTTTAGCAAATGGACTAATAAAGATGTATTGTTTTGCATTGGTGGAGTAACAAAGTTGTGTTGTATTGTATAGGTGAACTAATACAATGGTATTGTTTTGTATAGGTGGGCGCGGCCGGAGGGGCGGGGCCAGGGGGCCACACCCTGGAGCGGAGGCGGACCAGCTTCCTGGATGGGACCCTGCGCCGCAGCAGGCTGAAGACGGGCTCCATGAAGAAACAGAAGATGGAGGAGGAACAGGTAGCGGTTAGAGAAGCGTTGGAATCCCAGCTCCGACTGGAAAAATCTGGTGTAGTCAGTGGAACCAGAGGATTGATGACATCATCCTGGATATCGTCACCTGCTGTTATGCCCTTGAGCAAGGTACTAATAAAGTCTTGTTCTTGTTCAGATGCTGGAGATGTGGGTTAAGGAGGAGACCTCAGCCACCAGAACCTCCATCGTAGAGAAGTGGTCCCGACTCCAGGGACTGGACCAGCACACTGCCATGATCAAATACATGACCATCATCAAGGAGTGGCCCGGATATGGGGCCACACTGTTCGACGTAGAGGTAACTACATACATGACACGTGGAGGTAAATACATACATGACACGTGGAGGTAAATACATACATGACTTGTGGAGGTAACTACATACATGACACGTGGAGGTAAATACATACATGACACGTGGAGGTAAATACATACATGACACGTGGAGGTAAATGCATACATGACACGTGGAGGTAAATACATACATGACACGTGGAGGTAACTACATACATGACACGTGGAGGTAAATACATACATGACACGTGGAGGTAACTACATACATGACACGTGGAGGTAAATACATACATGACACGTGGAGGTAAATACATACATGACACGTGGAGGTAAATACATACATGACACGTGGAGGTAAATACATACATGACACGTGGAGGTAAATACATACATGACACGTGGAGGTAAATACATACATGACACGTGGAGGTAACTACATACATGACACGTGGAGGTAACTACATACATGACACGTGGAGGTAAATACATACATGACACGTGGAGGTAAATACATACATGACACGTGGAGGTAACTACATACATGACACGTGGAGGTAACTACATACATGACACGTGGAGGTAACTACATACATGACACGTGGAGGTAAATACATACATGACACGTGGAGGTAACTACATACATGACACGTGGAGGTAATACATACACTGGAGAATACATGACACGTGGAGGTAAATACATACATGACATGTAGAGGTAAATACATACATGACACGTGGAGGTAAATACATACATGACACGTGGAGGTAAATACATACATGACACGTGGAGGTAAAATACATACATGACACGTGGAGGTAACTACATACATGACACGTGGAGGTAAATACACATACTGGGGACACAGTAGTGAGGTACTCAATGGGTAGAGTGGACTACTGTGGTGAATAGGGCCAGGTATGGATGTACTGTGGTGAATAGGGCAGGTATGTGATGGTACTGTGGTGAATAGGGCTAGAGAGATGGGAATAGCCGGTGACTGTGGTGAATAGGGCTAGAGTGGTATGTGGTGATGAGGATGATCTGTGGTGAATAGGGCCAGGTATAGATGGTACTGTGGTGAATAGGGCTAGAGATGATACTGTGGTGAATAGGGCCAGGATGATACTGTGGTGAATAGGGCTAGAGATGGTACTGTGGTGAATAGGGCTAGAGATGATACTTGTGGGGTGAATAGGGCTAGGGTATGTGATGGTACTGTGGTGAATAGGGCTAGAGATGATGTACTGTGGTGAATAGGGCTAGATGTACTGTGGTGAATAGGGCCAGGATGAACGTGGTGAATAGGGCTAGGAGATGGTACTGTGGTGAATAGGGCTAGAGATGATACTGTGGTGAATAGGGCAGGATGGTAGTGGATGGCTAGATTACTGTGGTGAATAGGGCTAGGATGTACTGTGGTGAATAGGGCCAGGATGTACTGTGGTGAATAGGGCTAGAGATGATACTGTGGTGAATAGGGCAGGTATGTGATGGTACTGTGGCGAATAGGGCTAGAGATGGTACTGTGGTGAATAGGGCTAGAGATGGTACTGTGGTGAATAGGGCCAGGGATGCTACTGTGGTGAATAGGGCTAGAGATGGTACTGTGGTGAATAGGGCAGGGTATGTGATGGTACTGTGGGAATAGGGCTAGTAGGATGGTACTGTGGTGAATAGGGCTAGAAGACTGGGTGATGGGTAGGATGGTGGTGAATAGGGCCAGGGATGACTGGTGAAGGCAGGGTGATACTGTGGTGAATAGGCTAGAGAGTACTGTGGTGAATAGGGCAGGGTATGTGATGGTACTGTGGTGAATAGGGCTAGAGATGGTACTGTGGTGAATAGGGCTAGATGTACTGTGGTGAATAGGGCTAGGATGGTACTGTGGTGAATAGGGCCAGGATGATACTGTGGTGAATAGGGCTAGAGATGATACTGTGGTGAATAGGGCTAGAGATGATACTGTGGTGAATAGGGCTAGGAGATGGTACTGTGGTGAATAGGGCTAGAGATGTACTGTGGTGAATAGGGCTAGGATGATACTGTGGTGAATAGGGCTAGAGATGTACTGTGGTGAATAGGGCAGGGATGATACTGTGGTGAATAGGGCTAGAGATGATACTGTGGTGAATAGGGCTAGAGATGATACTGTGGTGAATAGGGCTAGAGATGGTACTGTGGTGAATAGGGCTAGAGATGGTACTGTGGTGAATAGGGCTAGAGATGATACTGTGGTGAATAGGGCTAGAGATGGTACTGTGGTGAATAGGGCTAGAGATGGTACTGTGGTGAATAGGGCTAGAGATGGTACTGTGGTGAATAGGGCTAGAGATGATACTGTGGTGAATAGGGCTAGAGATGGTACTGTGGTGAATAGGGCTAGAGATGGTACTGTGGTGAATAGGGCTAGAGATGATACTGTGGTGAATAGGGCCAGGGATGCTACGGTGGTGAATAGGGCTAGGGTATGTGATGGTACTGGGTGAATAGGGCTAGAGATGGATACTGTGGTGAATAGGGCTTAGGATGGTACTGTGGTGAATAGGGCCAGGGATGATACTGTGGGTGAATAGGGCCAGGGATGATACTGTGTGAATAGGCCAGGGATTACCTGTGGTGAATAGGGCTAGAGATGATACTGTGGTGAATAGGGCTAGGGTATGTGATGGTACTGTGGCGAATAGGGCTAGAGATGGTACTGTGGTGAATAGGGCTAGAGATGGTACTGTGGTGAATAGGGCCAGGGATGCTACTGTGGTGAATAGGGCTAGAGATGGTACTGTGGTGAATAGGGCCAGGGTATGTGATGGTACTGTGGCGAATAGGGCTAGAGATGGTACTGTGGTGAATAGGGCTAGAGATGGTACTGTGGTGAATAGGGCCAGGGATGCTACTGTGGTGAATAGGGCTAGAGATGGTACTGTGGTGAATAGGGCCAGGGTATGTGATGGTACTGTGGTGAATAGGGCCAGGGTATGTGATGGTACTGTGGTGAATAGGGCTAGAGATGATACTGTGGTGAATAGGGCTAGGGATGGTACTGTGGTGAATAGGGCCAGGGATGATACTGTGGTGAATAGGGCCAGGGATGATACTGTGGTGAATAGGGCTAGAGATGATACTGTGGTGAATAGGGCTAGGGTATGTGATGGTACTGTGGTGAATAGGGCTAGAGATGGTACTGTGGTGAATAGGGCTAGAGATGGTACTGTGGTGAATAGGGCCAGGGATGCTACTGTGGTGAATAGGGCTAGAGATGGTACTGTGGTGAATAGGGCCAGGGTATGTGATGGTACTGTGGTGAATAGGGCTAGAGATGATACTGTGGTGATTAGGGCTAGAGATGATACTGTGGTGAATAGGGCTAGAGATGATACTGTGGTGAATAGGGCTAGAGATGGTACTGTGGTGAATAGGGCCAGGGTATGTGATGGTACTGTGGTGAATAGGGCTAGAGATGGTACTGTGGTGAATAGGGCCAGGGTATGTGATGGTACTGTTGTGAATAGGGCTAGAGATGGTACTGTGGTGAATAGGGCCAGGGTATGTGATGGTACTGTGGTGAATAGGGCTAGGGTATGTGATGGTACTGTGGTGAATAGGGCCAGGGTATGTGATGGGACTGTGGTGAATAGGGCTAGAGATGGTACTGTGGTGAATAGGGCCAGGGTATGTGATGGTACTGTGGTGAATAGGGCCAGGGATGGTACTGTGGTGAATAGGGCTAGAGATGGTACTGTGGTGAATAGGGCTAGAGATGGTACTGTGGTGAATAGGGCCAGGGTATGTGATGGTACTGTGGTGAATAGGGCTAGGGTATGTGATGGTGCTGTGGTGAATAGGGCCAGGGTATGTGATGGTACTGTGGTGAATAGGGCAAGGGTATGTGATGGTACTGTGGTGAATAGGGCCAGGGTATGTGATGGACTGTGTGATAGGGCAGAGATGGTACTGTGGTGAATAGGGCCAGGGTATGTGATGGGTACTGTGGTGAATAGGGCTAGGTATGATGGTACTGTGGTGAATAGGGCCAGGGTATGTGATGGTACTGTGGTGAATAGGGCTAGGGTATGTGATGGTACTGTGGTGAATAGGGCCAGGGTATGTGATGGGACTGTGGTGAATAGGGCTAGAGATGGTACTGTGGTGAATAGGGCCAGGGTATGTGATGGTACTGTGGTGAATAGGGCCAGGGTATGTGATGATACTGTGATGAATAGGGCCAGGGTATGTGATGATACTGTGATGAATAGGGCTAGGGTATGTGATGGTACTGTGGTGAATAGGGCTAGGGTATGTGATGGGACTGTGGTGAATAGGGCCAGGGTATGTGATGGTACTGTGGTGAATAGGGCTAGAGATGGTACTGTGGTGAATAGGGCCAGGGTATGTGATGGTACTGTGGTGAATAGGGCTAGGGTATGTGATGGTACTGTGGTGAATAGGGCTAGGGTATGTGATGGTGCTTGGTATTTGATTCATTCAGTCATTTAGCATTGTATCTGACCTGCTGTATGTTTCTGTGTCCTCAGTGTAAAGAAGGAGGCTTTCCTCATGACCTGTGGCTGAGTGTGAGTGCAGAGAACGTGTCGGTCTACAAGAGAGGAGAACCCAAACCTCTAGAGACATTCCCCTACGAACACATCATCTTCTTCGGCGCTCCGCAGGCCGCTACCTATAAGATCACAGTGGACGACAGAGAGATGTTCTTTGAGACACCTCTGGTACAGTATACCACCATAATACAACATTAGATAAATAGTAGCCTGGTCCCAGGTCTGTTTATAACACCAGATTAGAAATGCTTTGCAGCCTTTCAGTAGCCTGTTCCCAGGTCTGTTTATAACACCAGATTAGAAATGCTTTGCAGCCTTTCAGTAGCCTGTTCCCAGGTCTGTTTATAACACCAGATTAGAAATGCTTTGCAGCCTTTCAGTAGCCTGTTCCCAGGTCTGTTTATAACACCAGATTAGAAATGCTTTGCAGCCTTTCAGTAGCCTGTTCCCAGGTCTGTTTATAACACCAGATTAGAAATGCTTTGCATCCTTTCAGTAGCCTGTTCCCAGGTCTGTTTATAACACCAGATTAGAAATGCTTTGCATCCTTTCAGTAGCCTGGTCCCAGGTCTGTTTATGCTCATGCCAACATGTTTGACATGACAATGAACGACAGGGAGTCTACATGATAGCAAACTGACTGGCACCCCAGGCTAGCCTTTCAGAACATCACCCAACAAGGCCTTGGCTGTTACGATGCTTCTAAACACATGTCTGTTCAGTGTGTGTTGTACCTTTTCCCTGCTGTTAAAACTCTATCATCTGTGGTGTTTCAGGTTGGAGAGATCACCAAGATCATGAAAGCCTACATCAACATGATAGTGAAGAAGAGATGCAGTGTCAGATCTGTGTCCAGCTACGGAACCAACTGGATCAGGTGATTAGGGACAGGACAGGACACAGCCCAGTTGGCTTCCCACCACCCCAGGCTAACAGGCTAAAAGGACAGGACACAGACCAGTTGGCTTCCCACCGCCCCAGGCTAACAGGCTACAGGCTAAAGGACAGGACACGACCAGTTGGCTTCCCACCGCCCCAGGCTAACAGGCTAACAGGACAGGACCACAGCCCAGTTGGCTTCCCACCGCCCAGGCCTAACAGGCTAACAGGCTAACAGGACAGGACACAGCCCAGTTGGCTTCCCACCGCCCCAGGCTAACAGGCTAACAGGCTAACAGGACAGGACAGGACACAGCCCAGTTGGCTTCCCCACCGCCCCAGGCCTAACAGGCTAACAGGACAGGACCCAAAGCCCAGTTGGCTTCCACCGCCCCAGGCTAACAGGCTAAAAGCCTAACAGGACAGGACACAGCCCAGTTGGCTTCCCACCGCCCCAGGCTAACAGGCTAACAGGCTAACAGGACAGGACACAGCCCAGTTGGCTTCCCACCGCCCCAGGCTAACAGGCTAACAGGCTAACAGGACAGGACACAGACCAGTTGGCTTCCCACCACCCCAGGCTAACAGGCTAACAGGACAGGACAGGACACAGCCCAGTTGGCTTCCCACCACCCCAGGCTAACAGGCTAACAGGACAGGACACAGCCCAGTTGGCTTCCCACCGCCCCAGGCTAACAGGCTAGCAGGACAGGACACAGCCCAGTTGGCTTCCCACCGCCCCAGGCTAACAGGCTAACAGGCTAACAGGACAGGACACAGCCCAGTTGGCTTCCCACCGCCCCAGGCTAACAGGCTAACAGGACAGGACAGGACACAGCCCAGTTGGCTTCCCACCGCCCCAGGCTAACAGGCTAAAAGCCTAACAGGACAGGACACAGCCCAGTTGGCTTCCCACCACCCCAGGCTAACAGGCTAACAGGACAGGACAGGACACAACCCAGTTGGCTTCCCACCGCCCCAGGCTAACAGGCTAACAGGCTAACAGGACAGGACAGGACAGGACACAGCCCAGTTGGCTTCCCACCGCCCCAGGCTAACAGGCTAACAGGCTAACAGGACAGGACAGGACACAGCCCAGTTGGCTTCCCACCGCCCCAGGCTAACAGGCAAACAGGCTAACAGGACAGGACACAGCCCAGTTGGCTTCCCACCGCCCCAGGCTAACAGGCTAAAAGGACAGGACACAGCCCAGTTGGCTTCCCACCGCCCCAGGCTAACAGGCTAACAGGACAGGACACAGCCCAGTTGGCTTCCCACCGCCCCAGGCTAACAGGCTAAAAGGCTAACACTACAAGGCTAAAAGTCTATGAAGACAAGAGGGACTGTTCTCCTCAACCCAGATGTCTGGATAACTGAAGGCTGTTAATCAGCTACTCAATAACTTGTTCACCTCCGTTGACAACAAGGAATCTCATCTAGAAGATTATATGAACTGTAGTGTGTTTCTCAGGGCGTATAGATGTGGTAAAGAGGTCAATGGAACTAGACCAAAACAATGGAAATGCCATGGAAACGCGTGGGGGAAAGATCCTGAATCTCCTCATTGCCCCCCAGCAACATTAACCCTATATCTAGCCTGTTGTTTATATGTGTATTTCACACTATGTTGAGGTAGAAATCGGAGTATAATGCTTGTATGGATGTCAACCCCAATACATGTTCATTTCATCGTCACCAATCAACTGCGTTACAGTTAAAAACTACTTTGACTACCACCACTGATTTCTGTATGCTAGCTATGCTAACCAGCTTATACGAACGGGAGTTAGCATTTAGCAGTCACTTCTTCTAAACCTGAAAAGGGACAACTTCTACATGTTATGCAGCGAAAACAGCCAAATATATCCAAATCAGACTTTAGTAACCACATTGTGAGTCTATTGCAATACATCAATCGTGACGGATTTGACAAATATCCACTTTGTTAGATCAGATTTGGTGAATGTCCGCCAATCCGGCGTCCCCACGGTCTGCATTCCATTGACCTCTTTACCGCATCTATGCCAACAGAACATTCTAGAACATTCTAGAACATTCTAGAACATTCTAGAATGTGTAGAACTAAATGTTTAACTGCTTTCCTCAACCATTGCATAGAGCTATTCCCTAGCTGTCGACAGAGTGGATAACCGACCATGTTATTTTCTGCCATTATTTACATCAATTTATCAATGGTATGGACCAATCAAGTGTCACATGTCGCATCAGATGTCCTTTTGCATCAAGTTTGACCATTTCAAATACCTTTCCAATGGACTGAGATTCAGATTGACTGAGAAGTCTCACACTGTCAAGCCCTCCCTGACAATAGCTCCCCTTCCTTATGAGAATGTTGTGTCTTCTTTTGAAAGTGCAAATGTGTTATTATTATTATTATTATTATTATTCTAACATATGAGTTGTTCATGTTTGGGCACCCAACTATAGCATTCTATATTTATAATTAGAAGAAGTGATTTATGTAAGGATATACTATGTGGTCAATGTTGATCCTCGGGGGCAGTCATCGCTCATTACAAGACTCTCTATTGCCATTCAATAGGGAGATAAGGTTTGGAGACTTCCCCTCAGGTTTGATGAGCAATATGAGTCCAATTTCAGACCACCGACCCGGGGAGTTGAACCTCTTTACATTTTAATGCCTTAAATAGTTTCACTGCTTCCATCCATGTTTTTATTCATCTACTTTGGACTATAAGTCATAGTTTTGCCTTTCAGGAATGGCATCCTCCAACAGGTGTATGTTATAACACAGGTGGCCAAGGCTGCCATTCTACTCAGTGCCTGAGAAGCAGGGTTTAAACCACATGGTTTCAACTCTGGTGAAATGACACTTGCCTTTTATATAAGACTAGAACAAACCAATATATAGTCCATTGCTTCTTATTACTAATACATTTAGGATATTTATTTACACTAAAGGCTGTGGTATTCAGTAAACGCAGTGGTTAATATAAAAATGTGCGTATTTCTGTAAAACATGATTATAGAAGTTAGTCTCCAGTATTTTAAATAATTTAACTGTTATATTTGCTATTATGAATCGATTATTTTATTTTTTTGTCCTTGTAATGATTGTGACTGAAACTGTTGTTTAATGAGAGATGTTTTGAAGAGACAAGCAGGAGATTCTGTTACTGAAGGATGTATTGTTGTTTGGTCATTATGGGAGGGGACATTGTCTCACGTCAGATGACGTCACTCCTCCGTCTTGTTGGACGTGGAACTCAGATTCAAATTTCAATATTGAGCATCCGCCATTCAAAAAATTAAAACATAGTTCCTCATTTTTGATATCACTGCGCTAGCATGTGATTCTCCATGAAATAGGCAGAATAACCAACTAGCTAAATTATTACAAACGTTGTGACAGTGATTTAATAGTTTGCAATTGTGAGAAAATAAAAACAAACCAGTGGCTACCTTCTGCACAAATTCTGTGCCAGGACGTAGGTCGCCAGGCAGTGACTTGATCAGCTGTGTAGCTAACTGTTGTCGCTAGCTAGCTAATCAGCTAGCTCTTCCGTCACTGACATAAAAAGCTTGCTTTGCCTGTTTAAATTACCCTGAAGTTGTAGACATGCAGCCCCACAAATAATAGGAACTGGCTGTTATCACAAATCAGTCCATAGATCAGCATGATGCTCCTCGATTGTATCGTTGGGTAAGCTGAGCACAGCAGCAGCTGCTTCATGAAAACTCATAATAATGTAAGCATTAGCACTACTAGCTACAGCAGCTTGCTAGCTAGCTTTTGTTGGAAGATTCAACATCGTGTGCAGCACTAAGTAGGTAGCTGGTTGGTTAGCAGTGTCGTTTCAGTCAAGATGATTTCAGTGACTGACTCAGCTGTTGGACAAATGTATGCTTTTCGTGCCCATAGTCAAACTTCAGAAATACTGCTCATTAAAGTACAATAATCCTTAGCTAAATGTAAAATGGGACGACTTCCTCACCAAAAACACACACTATTGACATACTGTATTTATTATTTGAACATAAATGAATTCAGACAGTTGTGAGGCA